AAAAAAGCTGGAAATGGCACTATGGCTCAAGTGGTAGAGTGCTAGCCTTGAGCTGAAGAGCTGAGGGACAGAGCCCAGGCCCAGAGTTCAGGCCCATGACCGGACCCCCCAGAAAAGTAATAATAATAAAATAAATAAATACTAAGCAGGGAGCCAGCGGCTCATATTTGTAATCTAGCTACTCAGGAGGGTGAGATCTGAGGAGCACAGTTCAAAGCCAGCCTGGGCAGGAAAGTCTGAGAGACTCTTATCTCCAATTAACTACCAGAAAACCGGAAGTGGTGCTGTGGCTCAAGTGGTAGAGTGCTCTCCTTGAGCTGAAGAGCTAAGGGACAATGCCCATGCCCAACAACCAACAAAATAAATATTAAAAAAAAAAGATAGACAAAAAAACTGTAGTTAAAAAAAACTTTTAAAAGGAGTAAGATACTTTCTTTGTACTTTTTCTTTTAATATTAATTCAAAATTATCTTGTTTTCAAGACATGAGATAATTTCAACCAGATAGAGAAAAGTGGCCAAGAAAATCATTACTTTTACTAGTATGTCTTCTTGAATTGCCTAAAGTACTAGAAATAAAAATATGAGCATGAGCCCCTAAAGATCTTCTAGACCTATTCGGATATGATCTGTAAAGTCAAAACTATTTTCATAATAACACTAAGACATTATTTGTCTTTTTCACTGTGTTGACCATGGTACATATAGTACAAAAATCATTGGGAATGAAATCCTGGAACCTTATTGGGGATCAAGGCAGTGGTACCGAAGTAGACAAGTAGCTACACTCTTTACTACTATACCCTTGCAGTAAAAGAAATGCCATTTCACTTAAGAATGTCTTTAAAACAGTAAATATTAATCTTATTAGCCAAGCATCAGTGGCTCATGACTGTAACCTTAACTACTTGGGAGGCTGAGATTGGGAGGCTTGTTCAAGGCTAGCTTCCAAAGAAAAGTTAGCAACATCCCTTCTCAACAAAAGAACTGAACATCATGGCACAAGCCTACTATTCTAGATATATGGGAAGCCTAACATAGATTAAGCCTGGTTGTGTGGTCATGCAACAAGTGAGACTATCGCAAAAATAACCAGCAATAACAGGAACTGGAGCCATAGCTCAATGGAAAGAGCACTACCTGCCTAGTACAAAGATGAAAGTTCAAACTCCAGTGTGTCCCCACCAAAAATGTTGCTATATCTTTTCTTTTCAATCAGGAACTTTATTTTATACAGTTTTTTTATTGTAAAAATACTGTACAGAGGTGCTACTATATCTTGATGGCAATACACACTTAAAATACTGTATGCTGTCCAAGAGCCTCTTTTTTTTAAAGTCAGTCATGGGGCTTGAACTCAGAGCCTAGGCCCTATGCCTGAGCTGTTTTACTCAAGGCTAGCACTCCATCACTTTTGAGCCACAGCAGTACTTCCAGTTGTCTGATGGTTAATTGGAGATAAGAATCTCACCACTTTCCTGCCCAGGCTAGCTTTGTACTGTGATCATCAGATATCAGCCTCCTGAGTAGCTAGGATTACAGGTATAAACTACCAGCAACTGGCTCCAGGAGACTTACCCAATTAACCACCAAAAAGCTGGAAATGGAGCTATGGCTTAAGTGGTAGAGTGCTAGCTTGGAGCAAAATAATCTGAGGGTAGCACCTAGAATCTGAGATCAAGCCCCAGGACTAGTACCAAAAATAAAAAAGAAGATTTATAAACTCTTTAATAGTATATTAAAAAAAAACCCACACCCCTCAAAACATTTATACGAAGTAATCCATTTTAAATTGTATCAAAACATTCATTTTATTGTTAGAAATAAAATTATTTAAAATACAAGACTATAACAGTATAATGGCAAAATATTACCTGAATGAATAACATAATTCTTTTATTTTTTAATTTTTACCTTTTGTCAGTCATGGGGCCTGAACTCTGGGCCTAGGCACTTTCCTCAGCTCTTCTGCTCAAGGCCAGCTCTCTACCACTTGAGTCACAGTGCCACTTCTGGCTTTTTCTGCTTATGGATGCTGAGGAATCGAACCCAGGGTCTCATGCATGCAAGGCAAGCACTCTACCACTGAGTCACCTTCGTAGCCCCTAAATTCTTTTCTTTTTTTAAAAATAACTCTCCAGAAATCCAGTTTTATATTAAATTTACTCAACTTACAAGTACAAAAATATATCATAATACAGAGATCAATCAAATTTTGAAGTGAGAAACTTCTAACTTACTTCTCAATTGGAAGGACATGAGGTCCAGAGATGGAATAACGATACAAAAAAGTGAGAAACTTTCTGAATGCATCGAAAAAAGGCCAGTGAGAAAGAAGACAGATGCATTTGTTAGTGTGAATTGTTTTGGAATTATCAGACTTCCCATCTGTCAATGGAGATAAACCCAAAAGAAGTCTCTGTTTTTCTGTGAGATTCTCCTCAGAGTATGGTTCATAAAACTGAATAGCAGCACCATAGACCTGCAAAACAAGTAAAATATACTTGGTATCATTAATTCAAATCATACCATTAAACATTTAATGAATGTTTGCTATGAGCCAGGCATAGTGCCAGGGACTAGGCACACAATAGTGAACTGACATTACTCTTGCTTTCTTCATACGTTCAAGAATTACTGGTGTAATAACACATATCTGCAATCCCAGCATCCAAGAACCTGAGGAAAGAGAATCTCAAGTTTAAAGCCAGCTTGACTGTCTAGTAAATTCCAGGCCAACCAGAACTATATAGTAAGACCAACCTTTGTCTAAAACAAAAACAACAACCAAAAAAAAAAAACTGCAATAAGAAAACAAAAGAACTACGTAGTAATATTCTCATGTCCTTTTACTGAAAAAAAAGGTGTTTTAGTCACATTTTCAAATTAGTGACAATTGTACTAATATTCTAACAAAATGGTTGGAAATAATAACAAATAGAAAAGGAGACAGAATTTTAGATAAGGAACTATGAATTCCAACTTTGAGTAGTTCATTGAATTTTTCTCTTTTTTTTTTGGGGGGGGGTCTGGTTGTGGGGCCTGAACTCTGGGCCTAAGTGCTGTCTCTCAGCTCTTCAGCTCAAGGCTAG